CCCAAGGGGGCGCGCCCCACAGTTTGGGAACCTCTGATCTAGGGGACATGCACTCAAAATTTACCCTATACTGAAATACTGAAGTGACAACACAGTGACAATTTAACAAGTTTTTTTTTTTTTAATACAATGTGCTTTTTAAAAGGCATGAATCAAAGTAGCTCAGTCAAAACGAAGTGCTTGTCATAAATTAGAACAGAAAAGGAGATGACTCCAGCACCTTATGATAAAAACTCAAAGAATTCATGATAAAATTCAATATTATAAGTACAATCCATCCTCAACGACAACTATTAGAATGTGTAGCCATTTAACAAAGTTTAAAAACATGTTGGCACTTGAAATACAAGTTTCAAGTGCCAACATTGCAACTTACTGCAACTTAAAAAAATAAAATAAAAACATTCAAAAAGTACTTGTTTATACTGTTCTGTACTTCAACTGGCAACATCAGGTAGTGTAGGCATTAGGCAACAGAAAATTAAACATGTATAGTGCATGAATTTAACAGTCGTTTCATACAAGTTATTCAGTACATAAACTTTGAGCAATGTTGTTATATTTATCTATTAACAATCAATGTATGTAATCTGAAGTAGAAGGGAAAAAAAACAAAAACTTCCTCAAAACTCACTTCAACAAATAGTCCATTCTGAGTGATTCACTCATTGAACAAATCATTCTTCAGCGTCAGGAGACGCCTTTTAAGTGGTTTGTTGTCCTCAAGACACATCACAACTTTTTGGATAAATGTGAATGTAAGCTCAAGATTCTTTGGGTACTGTAGGTCTAGCGCATAGATTTACCCAAAGAGCAGGAGAAATGAATCAGCCAGATTTGTGGGACCACTCACAAGTATTTCATCCTCCATGAAAATATAGATGCTCTCAGGGCTGAACAGGGCTGCATCAGTAGTGTCATCTGTGATGACTGTCAGAAGAGCCACCGGAGTGTCAGTGAGGTCTGGACCATCTGCTGACTACAAAACACAAATCAAGGATGAGTTCAGTCCCTCAAGGACACAAATCATGTTAATGATGTCAAGACATTACTGTCACTTAGCACTTTGGACTTAGACTGCAACTTAGCTACATATTTAAACAATTGTCTTTACATATGCTTATATCTTACGTTAGTTTCACACTTACCTGTTAGCATACTTTATAAGTAAAATTTGAACATTTCCACATTTTGGCAACAACTCTCCCAGATATTTATTAAAGATGTGTCTAGTCATTTTTAAGTGGTATCAACTGTTTTCCAACTTGTTTTCCCTTACTCATTACGTTTTTGTTGAACTTCACAATTATTATTATTACTAAAAAATCTCAGAACGTGTTCATTATTAATTCCAAGGGCCATCATCATTCTTGTGTTACTCTGGAGTTTTTCTGACTACCTGAACCATAGTGTTAGCTTCCCCATCACACACACACGCATGCGCGCACACACCTACACACACACACACACACGCTTCCTGCCTGCATGAAACCTTTTCGTTATGAACATTTTCACTCCTTCTTACCGCAGCAGCAGCTAACCTGAACTCTTCCTCAATCTGTCCCTGGTCACGTCTCTCTCATTATCATCATCCTCCGATGATAATAAAGCCCCTGAATTGCCAATTCCCTTTCCTTGTCCACTACTGAATCTCCTCCAATGATCAAAGTTAGTGTGGTAATTAACATATTGGTTACTTTGACACATTTTTCTGAATGGGCATATGTGCTTCTTAGATTTTGTAGTAGTTTTTCAAACCCGCCCCATCTCATATCCTCTCACTTTTGTCGAACTCTGGTTAGCAGCTAACCGTTAGCTGAAATGGCTCCATTTCTGAAGTGGCGCCGGTAGGGTTGCCTTCTTTCAGAAATCAAAATAAGGGACGCCCACCACGGCGCGTGTCGCCCAACTCTCATGGGAGCATGTCCGCTGCAGTGATAGACAATATTTTATGGCAGTGTTTTTTTTCTTTAAAAAGTCATCCATAGAGCAACCGTTCATACATAGAGGTCGGTTAGAGTAACCCAAAACTGTACTCCACTCAGAGTAGTATACTTTAAATATGTTTAATTAAGCAAGTGTAAAAAGTATTTGGTAAACCATTGAGTAGCTGATCATAACACCTGATTTAATATTCAAAATGTGTCCTCCGACAACTAAAAGTATAAATGTTATGTGAATATTCTGATATTTTACAGAGTATTACCAAAACCTTTATATAAATAAGGAGTCAGGTTTGGATGCTGGTTCTAGACCAGATTTACCACAGGGACCAGGATAGTCAGTGTTTTTTCATGGCGACACTTGAAAAAGAATGAAACAAAACAAAACAACACAAAAAAAAAACAGAGCAATATTTCATCATTTGATATAATAAGTGAGCCAAAGACCCACTTGTGTCTCCAGAGATCCAGGTTGCAGATCCCTGGCAGATGGAACGTGTGATCCTATACAGCAGCTAAAAGCGCAGCACTATAATTTTTAATTCAATGTTAAAGTAAAATTGTGAAGGTTAAAAAAATATCCACCACTGAGTATTAACATAAGACATTTATTTAGTATAACTTCTTTGGTACCCCGTTGGCCCCCCATCTAAAACCGCCCCTGGACTGCAGGTCTGTGTCTGGAGCATTAATGACCAGTGAACAATGAATTCATAAATATATAAACATTTCAAAATAAAACATACAGAAAGCCTTATCAAACCTTTTAAAGTATGAAGTATTTATGTATTTACTATTAATCTAATGTATGGTTAGTTCTTTAAATTATCATCTGTATTATTTTGGCTGATATTATTATACATTAAATAAGCAAATAATCAAACCAATATAGTCTACTATAAAAACTTAATCATAGCAAAATGTTACCATATAAGGGTCTGCTGTGTTCCTCTCCTAATCTATTCTGTCTGGTATCATACAGCACTACGCCACGATGGACACATTTTTCTTTTTTAACTGAATGTATTCATCCTCACTAACATATTCAGCCTGGGATTTGCGTCTTCCTTCTCAAGTCTGTACCTTTACGAGAGGTTTTGCTTCTAAGGACGGTGGAGAATTGGGTCGAGAATGTTTTAAAAAGATCCAGGTTGATAGCACCTCACTGCGGCCGCGTAGTCTCCGTCCCTAGGCAACTCTTGTTGCACTGTTGATATGTGTGTGTTGGGCGTGTCTATCGGACATTTATAGAAATACGGAACAAATCGCATCCCGTATCGGTTCAGTACGGGATGCAACATTTAACAGCCAAATACGGGACGATTCCGTATTTTAAGGCAGTGTTTTTCCAACCACTGTTCCGCGACACACTAGTGTGCCGTGAGTGATCGTCAGGTGTGCCGTGGAAATTATTCAATTTCACCTACGGTACTGTATTTTCCCCGACTATAAGCTGCTACTTTTTTTCTAAACTTTGAACCATGCGCATTGTAGCCCGGTGCGGCTTTTCTGTGTATTTTTCTTCAACCACCAGGGGGCTCTCTAGCAGGAAGTGAATCATTAGAAGTCAAAATTGTAAATCGAAGAAGAACGCGTTAATTTTCATTTAGAACAACCACGTGCTAGCAGCAGACACGACGGAGAAATGTTTTCAAACTTGTATGATGCAGCTTTTAAGTTGAGGGCTGTCGAGCTGCCACTACAGGAGGGAAATAGAGCCGCTGTACTTAAGCTCGGCGTGAACGAAACCATGGTTAGTCATTGTCTCTCTTCAATTTCTGCCAGAAAATCAGCTAAAGTTTAATAGAACTTCTTTAAATTTAACACCACATTGTTGTGGCCCTGTTCAGGTGTATTTTTGA